TGGATGCACACGGGAGGAGTGGCTGTAGTGACAGCGTTACAGCTGGTGTCCGACACACGGCTGAGCCCAGTGAGTCCCAGCGCTCTGCAGCTCTGCTTTACAAACCCCGCACACTGCACAGGTACAGGGGTGTCAGTGACAGCTTGCTGTCCACGGCCCCAGGAAGTGACACCTGGAGGGACACAGCCTCCTGAACTCCCTGCTGTCCACCAGAGCAAGGACAGGCCCACACAAAGCCCAAGGGATAAGGAGAGCTGTTCTTACACCAGCCCCAACTGCCCAGGGCTAGCCCCTCCATTATTTGAGCACAGAAGCCCCCACAGGGAAGCAGGGACACCTGGCAGGACAAGCAGGACTTTGCCCTGTCCTGCTCTGCTCTGAGTGACTTTACATCACTCCCCACACTGCCCTCGGTGGCAGGACTGCAGACACCTGGGAGAAAAGTGCTGCAAGCTGAAGCCCAGCCCCTACCTGCCAGCTGTTATTTCATTCCTCTAACAGGTCCATAAATGAAGGATAATTAAATCTCTCGTAAACTCTCTTCCATTTAAAATAAAAATCCATAGTCCCTATTTCATTAGTTGGCTCTGGGTTTTACAGCTTGATCAATTCCCCTCGCAGAGCCCCAGTCCGGGGCAGGCAGATGCAAACACACAGCTTTCACGCTGTGGATCAATGGGGATTCGCAGTCTCCTCTCCCCATTCCTTGTTCCCCACTCACCAAAGGGAGCCAGGCAGTGCAGCAGGTAAGGACGGTGTGTTTCACTGCTCAGGGGAACACCACTGCCATGTGTGGCTTCAGAGGTCAGAGTTAGTGCCTGGCAAGAACAGAGGCAGTGGCAATTCTCCCCCTCCAGTGAAGGGAGAGCCCAGCATGGGGCCCAAAAAACACAGCCATGACCCTAAAGGCAAAGCAACACAGCACACAGGCAAGGTGATACCTCCCCACTTGCTCCACAGTGAAGAGGGACAAGGCTCAGCCTCCCATGACTGACAGCTGGAGTCAGAGCCCACCAGAAGCATCAACTGAGAACTAGGAGCAGCCACCACAACTCCGACCTCTCCACACACAAAACGGAAGAGACTCGTCACAGAGACCCGAGTACACAGGCTCCCCATTTCCTGTCCTTCCAGGCCCTCTGCTGCTGCCCTGCCACACACCACCTTCACCCTGCCACCCTGCCAGTCTGGTGGGCTCTAGATGGCTCTCATCACCCCTGCAAGCCTCTCCCTCCACTGCAGTGGGAGCTTCCAGCACTGGCAGCAGATGGAAGGATCACAGCAGCAGCCAGAGCTGCACAGAGAGCAGCCAGGCAGAGCCCAGGGAGCAGAGATCAGTGTGCCAGGCAGTCCTTGCCCTGGGCCAGCACCCAGGTGCTACCCAGTACCTATCACACCGTTTCCCTCCACTCCAGGCACGTATCCCTCCCTCCCCTGGCCTTTGCTCATCCAGAAAGCAGCAAGCTGCACAGTCCTGGTCATGCCAGAACACATTGTGGAGGCAGCCCCAGGGGGCAGGTCTAGAAACCCTGGCTCAGCGAGCTCTGCCCTGTCCACACAATGCCAGTGATGGACAGACCACACCACCAGGGCCCAAACCCCAATCTGTGCTGACCCACCTTTGGGCATGCCAGCACATTGGTACCTGCCAGGAGACATCAGGGCTGGTCGCTGGGACACTGTACAGCCACCACTCAGAGCACTCGCTCCAAGCAAAGCTGGGGGGGACAAAGCCCTGCCACCCCACTGAGATTCCCTGCACATCTGCAGGGGAGTGACACTGGAGCCTCCCAAACACACACAGGTGCCTCCTCCCTCACCTCCCATGCCAACACGTGCCCTTTCTCTGCTCCCACTGCAGGGAGGCATGGAAGGGCCACAGTCCACCTGCGAAACCAAACCCACTGCTGAGGGGCGTGATGCCACCCGCCAGCTCCAAAGCAGCCACCCAAAGGTGACAAACAAAGGCGCCCGGCAGGCACTCTGCATTAGCAGTATTTTTAGACACCACTATGGAGCCGGCCTTATTATTTTCATTGCAACGTGCATAATTACCCACCATGCACCGCAGTGACATCAGACGCAGCCGGCTCCCCTCCGACAGCCGCTCCTCCTCCCGGGGCTCCTGCCTGGCCCCGGGGACCCACCTGCCCTGCCGGTCTCTGCCCTGCCCATCTCCCCGGGGCACAAGGCCCCATTTCGAGGGGGACCTCGAGGTCCTGGGGCGTCAGCGCCGACATGAGCACAGGTGGCAGAGGGACAGGGCGAGGCAGTGGCACAGGACGGTGAGGAGGCGAGCACAGGGACGAGCTCCGGAGCTGCGGACACACGGCCAGTTGTGCTGGAGCACAAGGCTGGTGCAGAGCTGGCAGACAAGGCACCAGCACAAAACCGAGCAATGCTCGTGGGAAGAGGGGCACGGAGAGACAGCACCTGCCTGGCCGCGGGGTTCAACTGCCCAGGAGAGCAAACCCGGGGGCACATCCCAGATGCCCACAACCCGGTCCCTAACCTCCGTGGGACAGGGCTGCCACGGGCCCCGCACACAGCCCGCGCTGCCAGCACAGACCCTGCAGGGCCGGTGGCACAGCCTGTCCCACTGCCACCACCCCGGATGCCACCATCACCGCCCCGGCAGTTCAGGCCCATTTGTTTCCTACCTCTTCCCCAAACGCAACTTTCCGAAGAACTTCACTACTTCCCCTCCCGTCCCCTCTCACACGCCGGGGCTTGCACAGCTCACGGGATGCAGGGGCACAGCGGACGGGGCACCCCGGAGGGCGCAGCAGGGCAAGGACACAGCACCAGCCTCGGCAGGAGCCGCCGACCCCCGCCCGGCCGGGGCCGCGGGAGCCCCCGAGAAGAGGCTCGGGCCGGGGCAGGCCCGGGCAGCCCCCGGGGCCGGCAGGGATTGCCCCTGTCCCCGCTGCCCCGGGCAGGCCCCGCCACGGGGCCCTTTCTCCCCGCGGGGCTCTCCGGGCACCGGTGGCTCCTCCCACCGCCGTGCGGCCGCACCGGGCCCAGCTGCGCTTTACGGCCGCTCCCCCGGTGTCTCGGTGCCCCGAGCAGCTGCCGCCGCCCCCGCCCGCCCCGGCCATCCGCCCCCTCTGCGCACCGGGCCGGGCCCGGCCCGGCCGCCCCCGCCGCACCGGGCCGCGCTCGCTCCGCCAGCCCTGCATCCGCCCCATCGCTCCGGGCCCTGCCCGCCGTCCTCCCCGCCCCGCTGCCCCGGTGCTGGCCTCCCCATTCCCTCGGCCCCGGGCCCTGCCCGCCGCCTCCACCCCGGGCACCGGCCCTGTCCGCGCAGCCCGGGCCTGCGGCCGCCGCCGCACCCCGTACCTGCGGGAGGCGCTCCCCCGGCGCTCGGTGCCGTGCCGCGGCGCTGCCCGCCGCTCAGCCCGCTCGCATGGCGCGGCAGCCGGGCCCGCCGGGCTCCGTGTCCGTGCCGGTCCCGGTGCCGCTCCCGGTGCCGCTCCCGCTCCGGCCTCAGCCCCGCCTCATGGCGCCCCCGCGCTCGTCGCGCCGATGGAACCGGCCGCGCCACGCCGCCCCCCCCCCCCGCGCCGCGCCGATGGGCGCGCCCGCCGCCTCCTGCCGTACTGCGCCCAAGAGCGGCGCCACCAAAACCGCGTGCCGGGGCGATCCGGCCGTAATGTTCCGAGTGGCAGCGCAACACACGCAAGCCTGGGTGGTGCTGGAGAAGATCACAGAAATCACAGAATCACGGAGTCAATTAGGTTGGAAAAGACCTCTGAGATCATCGAGTCCAACCTATGACCGAACACCACCGTGTCAAGTAGACTAGGGCGCTGAGTGCCACATTCAGTCATTCCTAGAACACCTCCAGGGATGGTGACTCTACCACCTCCCTGGGCAGCGCATTTCAATGTCTAATCACCCTTTCTGTGGAAAAATTCCTCCCGGTGTCCAACCTAAACCTTCCCTGGTGCAGCTTGAGACTATGTCTTCTTATCCTGTCGCTGGTTGCCTCGGAGAAAAGGCCGCCCCCCACCTGGCTACGACCTCCTTTCAGGAAGTTGTAGATGTCCCGGGACAGCCCTGGGAGATACAGAAGTGTCCCGAGGCAGCCAGGGCCGGTTTTCAGACGGGTGTCCAGCACCAGCCCCGGGGGTCTCAGAAGGGGCATCCTGGGCTAGCCCTGGTGGTGGGGAGTTTGTGAGGGTGTTCCGGGGCAGCCTTTGCAGGGCTTGAGACAATGCTGGACCAGCTCTGGAGAGGTTTGCTGGGGGTGGTGTCACAGTCTGGTCCCTGTAGCCTCTTCTCTGAGGGCTCCCTGACCCAGGTGTGGGGTGATATGGGGACCTCAGAGCAGGCTGAGTGTCTGGGGCGACCCCAGAGCTTCTTCAGCATCCAGACCCTGTGGGTTCCTCAGGGAATAGGGGTAAAGGGGCCCAGGGCCATGGAAGCAGGGGTCCAGCAGGCCCAGGGCTGGCCGTGCCCCCCCGCACCACCTCCCAGCCCTCTTCTGCCTGAGCAGAGCTGGACAATCTGTCCTTGTCCCCAGCAGGTCTGAAGTAGGTCAGGGAGGCTTGGCCAAGCCCCTGGGGAGAGGAGTGGGTGGCAGGGGAGTGCAGAGGGCCCCAGGCACCCGCCCCAGTGGCCACACCACAGGTTTGGTGCCCACCCCTTGTCCCGGTGGGCCCCCGGTGTCCCCAGCCCAGGGACATGGGCATGCAGGGCATTTCCCCAGCCTCTCTTTGGTCTCCTGGTGTGCTTTGGGATCCCTCTGCATCCCTGCAGGCTCTGAACCCCTTCTGGGAGCCAGAGTCCCATGGGCACAGGTTGAGGTGTCTGAATCCTGAGGGACATCACCCAGTATGGGGACCTGGGGGGCTGTTGATGGGGATTGAGCATGGGGCTGGGCTGACTGGGAACGGCAGGATGACCACAAGGAATAAGGAAGATGAGAGAGGGATTTCTCACCCCTTAATTGCAGTTAATGATTGGCGAATGTGTTTACTGCAGGAGGCAAAGGTCTGGCGTCGTCAGGATGCAAGTGCAGAGGCAACATCCCCAGCGACAGGGCCACAGGTAAGGGATGACAGCCCCAGCCCCTACGGGCATCACGGCCCATTGCAGTGGGGGGGGGGAGGGCATGTCTGTTGGCTGTGGGGCTGCCCACAGCCCATGGCACAAGGAGGGAGACCCCACGGTGGTGCCACGGGTTGCTCTCGAACTCCCAGCACTGCTTGGGGCAGCCACCTTGGGCGTGAGCAATGGAGCCTCCAGCTAGGAGGCTCCTGGAGTCCCCAGGCGCACTCACGGTCCCCAGTACTTGGAGGTCAATCCTGCACCCCCGTTCCATGTCCCCAGGGAGCCTGTGCCCAGGGGTGTGGGATGGAGCCTGATGCTTGCTCACCAGCCCAGCTCAGCAGAGGGACTGTCCCCACCAACACCCCTCCTGCCCCAATGGCTGCTCCCCAGGAGGGATTTGGGGGGGCAGCCCTCAGCCGCTTGTTCTCTGTTGTGTGCCCACAGGATTCCTGGCAGGATGGGATGGCACTCGCTGGTACTGCTCCCCTTCCTCCTGGCAACAGGTAAGGACTCTTCTTGGCATCTGGCATGGGTGGGCAGGGGGTCATGGAGCTGCTTGCAGCCCCCAACATTCCTTCTGAATTCCCTGAGAGCAGCTGGGACCCCAGAACAGCTGTTCACCCCACTGGAGAACCAAGTGTAACTTTGTTGCCCTGAGACAGGGCAGGGCTGGGCAGTGGGGAGAACATCCAGCATGGGAGCTGCAGCTGGAAGACAAGCGTGGTCTGGAGGTGTGGGAGGAGCACAAGGAGATGAGGGGTGGTGGGTTCCCCTGCCTTCCCTGGAGACCCAAACCATGGCCAGGAGCTGGGGCTGGAGCGAAGTAGGTGCTGCCAGATGTGGGGCTGCTGGCAGAGCTCCTACTCCTTGTAGTTTCAGGCAACACAGTCCCCATCTTCAACATGAGCCTTGTTTACGTGCCTGAGGACCTGGAGTTGGGTGAGTAGGGGCAGTCTCAGGAAGGCCCTGGATTGCAGGAGGAGCGGCCGGGGGGGTTCCTCAGACAGGAGCTGACACTGCCTGTGCCCCCAGGCCAGTTTGCTTTCCAGCTGAAGGCTTATGACCTAGACAAGGATGACATCCTCACCTATGGAATCAGAGGGACAGATTCCTTCTACTTCTCTGTCGATCCCAGTTCAGGCAACGTGACGCTGAGGAATTCCCTGGACCGCGAGGTGTGGGCAGAGATGGGACAGATGTCCCTGCCTGACTGGGGGTTTGGGGTGACGGGGACAGAGGGCAGAGCCATGAATCCTGTGGGAGAGCTGCTCATGGCAGTACCGTGTGTCACTCCCTGGCCCCGAAACCCAGCTCCTGGGGGGAGAGTTGTCTGGGAGGAACATCCCACACAGAGGTGGGGGCTCAACCATCCAGGGATTGAGCTTCACCTGGCCCTGACCGAGTCCTGCCTTGTGTCCCCTCAGCTCCAGGCCAGGCTCACCATCACTGCCACAGTGTCTGATGGTGTAAATAATGAGGTAAGTGCTGGGGCATGGGCTAAGTGTCTGCAGTGGGAGGGGAGCAGGGTCTCAACAGGGCCACGGACAAGGCTCAGTGGGAAGGGGACTAGAAGTGGGTGGGTGATGCTGGCTGGCTTCAGAGCCAGGGTGGGCATAGGGTGCCAGAACTGCATGAAGCTCTGCTGGCCACCATCTCCCATACCCATCCTATGTCCTCTCTGATACCCGATAGGTCTCCCAAATACTCCCCATCATCGTGGAGGACCGTAATGACAATGCCCCGGTCTTCTGGAACGTGCCATATAATGCCTTCATCCCCGAGGTACCTTCCTGGGACCTCCTGGCTCCCACAGGCAGCAGGGCAGGGGTGCTGGGTGGCTCCTGTGGGATGGGTGTGCCAGCACTGGGACAACAGTGTGCTGGGAGCTGTGTGACCCCACACCTGGGCGTAACAGTGCACCAGGAACGCTGTGACCCCACACCTGGGTGTAACAGTGCACCAGGAACCCTGTGACCCCACACCTGGGCGTTTGGTGATGGTGTGCCTGGGCGTGGGGCGATGGTGCAGCCAGCACCTGGGAGTGCTCCATGCTGGGGCAATTCCCTGTGGGTACTTCTGTGTCACCCTGAGGCGCTGACACATGGCTGGGACTCTGCCCTTGCAGCTTCCAATCAGGGTGTGCCCGAGCTGACTCTCATCCCAGGACAGGGTGACATTGGATCAGGGTGCAGATGGGGTGTGGGGCTGAGTCTGGCCCTGTCCGGCAATTCCAGGACTGGGGTGCAGCCCCTGCTCCCAAGGAGCCCCAAGGAGGGTGGCAGGGGGATCCAGCCTCTGCCCAGCTTGAGCAAGGGCAGCATCTTGTCCGTGTGTGTCCCACGGCACTGGGCAGTGCCTGCAGCCCTGTTGGGTCAGAGCACCCCAGAGCAGTGCTGGCAGGGGCTGGGCCCAGCATCACTGTCCCTGCTCTCTCACCATCACTCCCCTGTGTGCCCAGAACTCAACACTGCACAGCATCATCTACAACGTGTTTGCCAATGACAGCGACACTGGGAACGCCTCCAGAGTCAGCTACAGCATTGAGGAGGTGAGCACAGTGCACTGTGGGGTAGGGCATGCCAGACCCAAACCCCACTGCTGAGCCACCCCTGGGCCACCCCCTTGGGGCTGAGGTGTTGGGGGACCCAGCCAGGGCAGCCCCATGTCCCTGGGGGAGCAGGAGGGTCTCAGGTTAGGACCAGGTTGTGTGTCTGGCTCTGCACCCACTGGACAACCAGTGCAAGGTGCTGAATTTGCAGGCTGGGGATGAGCCAGGTGGTAGGGGGTCAAGCCTGGCAGAAGTATGGAGGTTGAGCCCCCATTTCTGCTGGCGCACCTCTGCTCCCTGCCTTGGTGACACAGGGTGATGTCCCATGCCCAGGTGATCCCAGACAGCACGGAGAATCGCCAGCTCTTCTACATCCTGCCCAATGGGAGTGTGGTGCTCAATGGTTCACTGGACTATGCCAAGAACACCTTCTACCAGATCAAGATTCGTGCTGAGGTGGGGACCAGCTGGGCCAGGGGTACAGGGCTGCCAGGTAAGGGGGCTTTGGGACTTACAGGTGCTCTGCTCCCTAGGATGGTGGGGGATTGCTGCACAACAATTGGATCGTCCAGCAGAGCTTCACCTATCTGTCCCTGACCATTGAAGACGTGCCCAACCTGGACCCGCGGTTCCTCAACGAGCCCTACTCAGGCTCTGTGCCTGAGAACTGCCCCCTGGTCAGGAGCCTGCCTGCCCCAATGCCATGTCTCTGCCCCTGGCCCTCCCTGGGGGCTCTGACACCCTTAGGGGTCTGGGCCACCAGGCATGGGGGCAGCTGGAGATGTCATAGGTCCTGCCCTGATGGCCATGTCCCCACAGGGCACCATTGTGCTGGCCGTCACCGCCTTGGACAGAGACACAGGGGTGAATGATGAGATCTTCTACAGCATCACCAGTGAGTGATGGGGCATGATGGGACGGGCAGGTGATGAGCAGTGGCAAGGTGGGATGGGCAGGAGGGGTGGTCAGGCAGCAAGGAGACTGGTTCTGGGCACCCAGGTGCTGCCAGTCTGCCCTGCTGTCAGAGAGAGAGGGCCACGCCTGCCTTTCCGAGTGGCTGCCACTGGTTGCTGCTGTCCCCTTGTCCTAGATTCCAGCGTCCCCTTTGCTATCAATGCCACAACGGGCACCATCACTGTGAGTGAGCCCCTGGACCGGGAGCAGCTGCCAAGTGAGGAAGTGCTGCTGAACGTCACAGTAAGTAGGAGGCAGCAAGGGGAAACCCATCCTTTCCCTGGGCCCCTTCAACCCACTCTCTCCTCTTGCCCAGGCACGTGAGAAGAACCTGGACATCTACGGCAAGGTGGCCCAGACCAGTACCCTGGTGACAGTCACAGTGACTGATATCAATGACAACAAGCCCCAGTTCTACAGCTGCTCCCTCTCCAGCTGCAACTTCTCTGCCAGTGTCCAGGACAACTTCAGAGGCAGCATCATAGAGCACTCCTCCACCAGGCTGCCTGTGTCCAACCTCAGCATTGTTGCCCATGACCCAGATAAGGTAGGACCCTGTCCATGGGGCTGGGCCAGGGTGCAGGTGTCTTTCCTGGCTGCACCACCCACCCTCACTCCTGTCTCTCCCTGGCAGGGCATCAACAGCAGTTTTAAGCTGAGCCTACAGGGTCCAAATGCCAGCGCCTTCGATGTGTCCCCTGAAATGATCGTGGGCACAGGGGAGGTCCAGATCCTGGTGCACGACCCATCCTTAGTGGACTACGAGATAAGCCATGTCATGGTGGTGCAGGTGGGACTTGTAGGTCTGGCTTGTCATGGAGGCAGTTTCTGCTCCCTGCAAATGCCAGGGCACAGAGTGGACATAGCCCTTCTCCTGCAGGGTTCAGGAGTCAAAGCAGAACATGGCTCTGCCCTGGCAGCTTGTTTGGTGCGGGGCAGCTGGACTGGAGTGTGACAGGTCTCTCTGTAATGTTTGGGGACCCATGTGAGACACAGTGCCTTCTCAATCCTGCAGATCATTGCTAATGACACGGGGAATCCCACAGACTGCTGCTCCACAGCCAACGTGACCATCGACCTTATTGACACCAATGACCACATCCCCGAGTTCCCCCAGAGCACCTACAACCTGAGCGTGATGGAGCACAGCCCTGAAGGCACCATCATCTCAACCATCACGGTCAGCAGCTGGGCAGGGAGCAGACACAGCTTACAGCCCCAAAGCAGGGCCCTGGGCAATTCTAGTGCAGCTTGCACTGAGGGCACTGGTCTCTCCATGCACACAGGAAGGAGTCAGTGCCAGCAGGCACACAGGGTGTGGGACCTCTTGCCTATCGGGGCCGCATTTTTGGGGTGCTCACTGCCAGCAGTCGTTGTCTCAGACTCAACACTCCTCTGGGAGCTGAAACAGATTGACCAAATGGTCAGTCAGTCTTCTGTCTTTTAGGCCTACGATCCAGACAGCGGTGTGTGGGGTCAGATCACCTATCGGCTGCTCCCAGACGACATGTACGTAAGGGCACAGCCAACCATGACTGGGGCATCGTCCTGGCGAGGGGGCTTCAGGCCTGAGCCCCGGTGATGGCTCTGTGTATGCCATAGCCTTAAAATCTTCACGGTGGACACTGTGACTGGGACACTGCTGGTGAAGGATGGGAAGTTGCTGGACCGGGAGACTCGCTCTGTCTACTATGCCACCCTGCAGGCCAGGGATGGGGGCGGCCAGGTGGGCACTACGGTGCTGGAGATCACCTTGCTGGATATCAATGACATGGCACCCGTTATCATCGGCTCCTACTTCATCTCAGTGGAAGAGGGGCAGAACATCAGTACACAGATCCAGGTATTTATCAGTAGAGGTGGAGGGGCTGACATGGCTGTCAGAGAGGAGGGACTGTCTCCAAGGTGTCCAAGAACCCCATTCCAACCGGTGACCTTTTCAGGCCATTGACAACGATGAGCCTGGCAACCCCAACAGCGAATTGGGCTTCAGGATCTTGACAGGACCGTTCAGCAACAACTTTACCATCGATGCAGACACAGGTGAGATGCACAGCAAGGAGCCGCTGGACCGCGAGGCTGTGGAAGATGAGCGGGGACAGATGGTGGTAACGGTGGAGGTGTATGACCACGGTGTGCCGGAGCAGAGCACCTCAGTGAACGTCACCATCACTGTGGGGGTGAGCCCTGGGCACAAGCAGGGACATGCTGGGGCAGGCTGGGGCTTGGAACTGAGATGGATGGGCAGGGCAGAGGCACTGTGTCCCCAGGCTTTCTGTGCGGGAAGAGTGAATAGTTGATGCAGGGAGGCAGTAGAGGGCTTGTGTAGCTCCTGCCTGTGGGTGGGCAGGTGCCTACACTCCTATCCCCAGCCTGCTGTGGGGAACTATGTTTCCTGAAAGGGCTACAACCAGGGTTTTTTCCTGCAGGACCTGAATGACAACGTTCCCATGTTCCTCAACCAGTCCTATGAGTTCTCAGTCTTTGAAGACTCTCCAGGTAAAAGTTGTATGGCCAGGCTTGTGGGACCAGTGGTGGCCCTGAGTCAGTGCCTGCTGCCCACTGAGTGTCTGTCTCCACCTTCAGGGTCCTCCGTGGGTGAGGTGAATGCCACAGATGCCGACCGGACAGAGATCAATTCCCGCATTTCATTCCTACTTGAGAGGACCAGTGGCTCCAGCAACTTCTTGATCCGCTCATCCCGCCTGGGGCCAGGGAACTACAGCGGCGATCTGTCCGTAGACCCTGACGTGCCCCTGGACTATGACACCTTGCAGCAGAAGTTCTTCTCCTTGGAAGTAGTGGCAGAGAACACGGCTGCAGACAACGTAGGAGACAAGGCCAACGTCTCGGTGGTGGTCCACATCCTAGACGTCAATGACGAGTCCCCCACCGTCCTGCCAGACTCACTACAGGACGTGACCGTGTCCGAGAACGGGACGCAGCTGGGTGTGGTCCACACACTGAACGCCTCCGACCCAGACACCAACCACTCACTGGTCTTCGAGGGGCTGGCAGTCGCCTGCTTCAAGGGTGACAGCAGTGCTGGGGATGTGTGCAGGGACTGGTTTGTGCTGGCACCCAACGGCTCACTGCTGGTGAACAGCTCGGACATCGATTACGAGGTGTGTGACAGAGTCCTGCTCACACTGCGGGCTGAGGACCTGTACACTGAGAAGGGCAACCGCTACAGCCAGAACGGTAGGGACCCCTTCCCTGCTCCTTCCACCACCACTGGGAATGGTGGGCGGTGGGACCTACCTCTCCCACCTCCCAGGAGAAGCTGTGGGGAGAAGGACAGGAGCTGGTCAGTTTGGTGATGGGGGAGGGTGTCCCCAGCTCTCTTGATTCCTGCTGCAGGAACCTGAGCCTGCTGGGAGTTAAGGGCTCCTGAGGAAAGCAGAGGAGGGTGCTGCAGGGCTGTTGGTGATTGGGGCTCTGCTTTTGGGACATTTGCAGAAACCCTGAGGATCCTCATTGCTGATGTGAATGACAACGCACCGGCCTTCCAGGCCATCTCAGAGACCTTTGGTGAGCAGTCAGGGGTGGTTCATCCCATGGGCTACTCACTGCACCCACACGTGCTCTGCCACACTCACTGGCAGCAAGGACCTTCCCCCAGCCTGGGGCAGGGCTGTGAGCGGTGCAGGGACCAGGCTGGGATTACTCAGTGTTTTCCGTGAAGGCTGTGGGGTCAAGGGTACTGGGGAGTGCTTGGATCCCTGGGGCTGTGCGGGCATGGGGTCTGCAGCAAGTCTGGCTTCACACCAGCATGACTGCACCATCCCTCTCTGTCCCTGGCAGTGGTTGTTCCTGAAATCTCCCCTGTGGGCCTGCAAGTGGCTACCGTGAAGGTGAGGAGCTGCCTGCATGTCTGTCAGTCTGTTGAGCCTTGCTTACCTATCCCCACTGGGGGCAGGTGGTGGCCATTCCCACCCATGCTCCTGCCACACTCTGTCCCTGCAGGCCACAGACGCTGACTCAGGGCTGGGGGGAGCCATCACCTTCTCAATTGTCAGCGTGGTGTTCTTGGAGGACAACGGGGTCAGCCGGCCCTTTGAAAACCTCTTCATGGTGGACGCAATGCTCGACCAGGGGGTTTACATTGGGAGCATCAAGTGAGGCCATGGGTCTGGGCTCGGGTGGGGGGATGTGGCTGAGCTCCGCCTGCTGCAGGGCCAGCACAGGCTGGAAAGGGGACAAAGCCATCCTGCGGTCCTGCTCTGGACATGGAGGCAGGATGGAGCTTGAAGGATGGCAGTGCCATCGCAGGGACAACTTGTGCAGCCCAGCAGGATTGCCGATGTCCCTGTCCTCACAGGGTGGCCAGCAACCTCGATGAGTCGCTGAAGGGGCAGTACCAGGTGACGGTGGAGGCTCGGGACGGCGAGGCACCGGTGCACTCAGCACAGACTGTGCTGAATGTGAGTTCACCCCCTCACACCCTGGGACACCCTGCACCCTGCCCAGCCCCGCTCACCCCCGCTCTCCACACACAGATCTTCACAGTGGACAATTCCTACCGCGTTCGCCTCCAGTTCTTGTCAACGGTGGAAGAAGTCCAGAGTAACTCCGAAAGTATCAAATTGTAAGGGGTGCCATGCTGGGGCCGGGGGTGCACGGCTGTGCAGCGGGGAACATGGATATTCATGGATATTCAGGCCAGGGCCCACTGGTTGTGTCTCCCAGCTTCACGGACTGTGAAGGGGATGGGGCAGGCAGGTTCCCACCAGAGGAGGGGGCTGCAGGGGGTCCAGCTGCTTCCCATGCCCGCAAGTGGAACATCAGGCCACCTGGCCCAGCTTCCCCCTATGTCTCCTGTTCCTAGGGCCCTGACCAGCGTGACCAAAGCAGCAGTTTATGTGGTGGCAATCCGAACCATGGAGAGCACCCGTGACACCAGGTGAGTGGTGGTGGGGAAAAAGACACTGTGGTGGCATTTGGGGGGGTCACCCTGGGGTAGGGCACCATGCCCTGCACCCTGGCACCCCACTCCCCCATCTCTGTTATCCTGCAGGGAAGCCAAATCAGTGATGGAGGCGTACTTCGTGTACAGCAATGGCACTGCCCTGGATATCAACCAGCTGATCACGTGAGTGCCGGGGGCTGCGCAGAGGCATTGCCACATGCCTGGCCCAGCCCAGCTGCTCATCCCTCCGCTTTCCTTGGCAGACTCATTCAGTCCGACCCACTGGGCTTGGCTGAGCTGGTGAAACTGGGCCTTGCTGTTATCGTGAGTGGGGCTGGGCAAGGGGCATGGGGAGAGGGCACCAACCCCAGGTGGGGCTAGAAGTGGGGCTCCACTGCCTGGGACTGTGCCCTCACCCCTGCTCTGTGCCAGGGCCCCGGGGAGGTGACAAACCCCACCAGGGAGACGGAGTTGATCGGCATCATCGCAGGGTTGGCAGCATTCCTGCTCATCTTCATACTCATCATGACCCTCGTCTTGGTTCTCACCACCAGGAGGTACTGTACTGCCTGCACCTCTTCCTGCCTCCCCCCACTACCCCCATCCTCACCGGCACCCCCAGACCCATCCCTACCCTCCATCCTGCTCCTGTCTACCCCATCCCATGGCTCAGCTCCCCCCTGCCCCTCTCACCTACCCCATCCCTGGGCTTTGCAGCTACAAGAGGAAGCTGAGTGCGATGAAGGCTCTGAAGGTGGCCACCACGTTCAATCCTGCCACAGCACAGCAGGGAGCAGGCATTCCTGGGACCAACCAGTATAATGCTGAGGGGTGAGTGGGGGGCTCCCTGTAGCAGGAGGGAAGAGCCCAGGCATGTCCCCACACCCAGCAGCCTGCATGGCTCGCTGTCACACCCCTCCCTGCCTGGGGGACACAGCTGGCCCGGGCTGACCTCAAAGCCCCAGAGCCCCATGGGACAGCACTCACCTGCCACCCATCCCTGACCAGGGCCAACCCCATACTGAACCACCCACTTGATCCCTCACACGACCTGGGCTTCCATGAGGACTCCATCTCTGTGACCAGGTGAGCTCTGTGGGCAAGTCCCGAAGGCCACAGTGCCATCATCCTACACCCCGACTTCTCCAGTACCTAGGTCCTCTTTTACCCTCACCCTCCACTCTCCACAGCATGAATTCCCTGGATGAAAACACAGTAAATGCACCCGCGGATGATGACTTTGAGGTCAAGGTAGGTGTGCAAAGAGCTGCCAGTGCTCAGCAGGGAGTCCTGACAAGAGCAACCTGCATCCCCTTCTCTCTGCTGTGGCCACCAGGCTCATGGACTCCTTGTGTCCCTTTCTCTGCATCCCCCTGACAGCCCTCAGCTCCTGGGAAGGCCAAGTGTCCCTCTCCCCCCTCTCTGTCCCCCATCCCCTCTCTGACCATGCTCTCCTCCTGCAGCAGGTCAAAGTGCGGCCAACAGACCCCACTGACAAGGAGGTGCTGGTGGCTGCCCTGAACCTGAAGGAGCCCACCGAAGCAGTGTACATCAACACCACCTTCACCACCACGGACTTGTGAGCGGGCTCACAGGGTGCAGCAGGGCTGGAGCGGGACTCAGGCAGCTGCTTTGGTGATGATGTGTTCAGTGTCTGGCAATAAACCTGTTCCAGAGAGGTCATGGTGTTGTGTGGCCATCAGCCCATCTGCCTGGGGGGCTCAGTCAGCTTGAAGTCATCTCTCCTGGCATGAAGTGCTGGTTTTGTGCCAGAGGGGCACTGTGGGGGCCATCCTGGCTTCTTGTCCCCCGGACCCTTCCCCAGGCTGCCCCACTGGCCCCTCTCAGCCCCAGGGGAGGGAGGTGCAGGCAGCCCCATGCAGAGATTTGTGTAAGGTTTTATTACCCAACATCCATATCGACAGATTGGTCCTCCCGCCCCTTCCTCCCCCCCACCTCCCCCAAAAGAAACGAAGAGGAAAAAAAGAAGAAAATAGGTGATGAAGCTGTAGCGCTGGTGTGCCACAGCTTGGCAGTGCAGGGCTGGAGGTGGGCACAGACTGGGGTAGGGTGGGATACCCCAGGGCTCCTGGTCTTCCTGGCATGGCCATGGCACCACTCCCAAAGCTCAAGGCACTGAGCAGAGCCAGGTCCTGGTGAGTATCATGGCATGGAGTGGGCACTTGCCATGGCCCTGGCTGCCAGCTGGCACTTCAGCAAGCCTTTTGCAGCCCCCCAGGAACAAAACCAAGTCCAGGATGTACAACATGGGTTTGGAGGGGCAAGACTGGACCCTTAATGAGGGGAAAAGGCTGCACTGGTGACCCTGGCACCTCGAGCCCTCTTGCACCTCTGCTCAGAGGGGATGGTGCAGCTTCCCAAGCACCCCCAAGCAGCCTCCTGCCCATCAGGTGCTGCAGCACTGTGGAGCTGGTCCTCGGTATGCGGCCAGGCTGGGGGGACCAGGATCTGTGTCTCAGCAGGACACTGCGGTGCTGCCAGCCACAGGGATGTTGACCCAGCCACAGGAATGCTCACCCCTGCAGGCTGACTCTTCACTCCAAACGCTCTTCAGCCCAGCAGAGCACAAGCAAAGTAGGAACAGTGTTTGAAAAGAGGGTCTCGGCCCCGCAGGCCACTGGGAAAGAGGTGGCTTCAGGCAGGACACACACGGCTGAAAGTGTCTCTTAAAAAGCTCCAAAAATGCAAACACAGTTCAATAAAAGCCCCCCTCCCCCCAGCCTGTAAAACCCCAGCCGTAAAAAGTGGCAGCGCTTTGCAGTCATTGCATCCTCAGCTGCTGTCAGAGAAGAGCGGCCAGTGGGGCTGAAGGAACCCACACAGGGACATGTGCCCATGTCCCCAGCACGTGGGGCATCTCTGGCACCACGAGGGCAGCTGGACAGGCCTGGCAGCAGGGCAGCTTCATCTTCACCACCAGCTGTGGTGAGGATGTGCCCTGGGCTCCAATGGTCACTTCCAGGCAGGCCGAGTAACTGGGACAAACTCCCCAGCTGCCTCCAGCCACGGCGACAGGGATGAGCAGCTCTCCATCACAGGCATGGCTGGCCTCAGTCTCTCTCATTTGAGATCTGTCACAGCTCCAGGGCACCCATGACACAGCAGTGGGGCAGAGAGGACAGAGCTGTTGAGGGGCTGGTGCCTGCCCTGGGCAGCCATGGGGACCCACACATGCATGGCCAGGGCTGGTCAGAGCGTGGCCAAGCCCTGGGCAGGCAAAGCAATGGCAGGGTGATGCACCAGTGTCTCTCCAGCATGGGAAGTAATGCTGCTGCCTGAGGTGCCAGAGCTCATGGGAGTCAGCAGCACCCACCTTGAGTCATCTCTAGACCTGTGCCACAGGCAGGAGATGCACGGGAGCAGCTGCCTCCATCTCGAAGGAGCCACGTGCTTCCTCATGCTGAAAAAAGCCACCAAACACAGAGACAGGGCACCAGCCTCACGTTCTGGGGCACCTCCACAGGGCTACACTCATGGGGAGTGGACCCCAGGCTGGCAGGAGGGACCCCAGCAAAGGAGATACCTTGCCCCAGCATGCAGTGCTCCATCACCACCTGCCTCAGCCCCAGGAGCCCCACACACTGGCACCAGGTGTCTCAGGACACTGGGGCAGGGACCCATTTTCACTCGCCCAGAGAAGCCCCGTGGCACCCCCACCCTGCCAGCATGGGCAGCGACTCACTCCATGGCGGGGCCAGTGCGGGAGCAGCACCGGGGCCGCCGGACGTTTTGCAGCAGAGCCCGAAAGACACTGGGCTGCCTCTTGGCCTCACCTTTGCGGGGGCCTCCCTTGACAGAGCCGGTGCGGGTGTTCTGTGGGGTCACCACCACCTGCCGCCCGTGCTCCTCGATCTGCTTCTCCAGGTGCTTCTGGATGGCCATGCCCAGCACCTCCACCTCCATGGAGGCCCCGTACACCTCCCATGTCATCCCCTTCTCATCCCAGCTCACCTCCCGGATGGGTTCCGGAGCCTCCTCCACCACCTCTGCCACCGTCCCCTTCACCTGCACCTCAGGATATGAAGTCTGTGGGGACTTGGCCAGTGGCGTCATTGGCCCAGTGGCCACTGAGCGGGTCTCCACAGGCATGGACACCTGCATCTCTGCGTCCTTCTTGGAGGGCTCCAGGCGTGGGGCTGCAGAGCCCATCTCTCTCTTGGGGAAGGTGAAGGCAGCAGCCCCGCCTGGGGGACTCATGGGGCTCAAGGCCACTGACACCAGGGACACGCGGCTGTCCACTTGTGTCCCCATGTCCTGTGTCCCGGCGTCCTGCGGTGGGGTCACCTCAAAGGAGTAGGACTCGCAGAGCTGCTTGGCTGTTTGGGGCTGCTGGCTGCTTCCAGCACCTGCACTCTGGGATGAGCTCTGTTCGGCTTTGCCCTGGCCCAGGGTGGTGGAGCTCGGTTCTGTCTTGCTTTGGCCCCCGTTCCCCACAGTGCTGGTGCTGTGGGGGTCTGCTGTGCCTCCCTGGGGATGCTTGGGAGCCTCACTTCTGTTCAGCTGGGGTGCAGCACCCAGGGATATCCCTGTGCCACCCTGAGGCTGCTCCTGGCTTGGCAGCTCAGCTGTCCCGGTGCCTGCAGTGGGCTCCACAAATGCCACACGTTTGGCTGGAGCTGGCGCACTTCCCATGTCCTTGTTGGTCGCCTTGAGGCAGGGATCAGGCAGGGGGGAAGCAGGGGCTGTGTTCTCCTTCTGGGCATTGGGGACCCCCATCCCTGTGGGACCACAGGCAGGGGCAGTGCCACTTGGTCCCCCACAGCTTGCTGCTGTTACTGCCACACTCTGCTCTGTGCCAGTGTCCCGGAGGAGCATGCCAGGAGCTGGTCCTGTTGGTGATGGTACCTTCTTCTCTGCTGCTGAGCCCGACGTGGTGGCCTGGGCCTCTGACTCAGCCACGCAGCAGGTCCTCATGGCACGGGCTCCCGTGGCACAACCGGAGCCGGGCAGGCACTCACCTGCCGGTGAGCAGCCAGGGGAGGCGGCACTGGGGTCGCAGGTGTCCTCGGTCCCGGCCTGGCGACTCAGCACCTGCAGCCCCTCGGGCTCCTTAGCACTGCCCATGCCCAGGGAAGGCTTCTCCCATGCTAGTCCCGCCGTGGGTCTGCAAGAGAGAGGATGGGGCAGTGAGGAGGAAGCAGCACATGGACCCCCAGTCCACCTCAACTGCCAACTGATTTTCTCTGTGCCGCCCATGACAACAGGTTGGGCGGCCGCCCAGAGCACTCACTGTCCCTGGCACAGCCTATGTGGTGGCACCCAGTGCCTGGCCGTACAGGAAGGGAGGAATGGTGTTGGCTGCCTACCGTAAAAGTCAGCCTTCTCTCAGCACAGCTGGACCAGGAGCAGGATCCAGGCGCTGCTGTGGCTGTCAGAGTGGGGAACACAGTGCAGACACCCCTGTGGAGAGAGCAGCAGCTGGAGTTCGGCCCTGGACACCAGGCTGAGAGCCCAGGGGGGCTTGACAGCCCCCACCTGTCCGTGGGCAGCTGGGTGCAGCAGGGGGTGAGAGTGACCTGGGCCTGGGGTACAAGGGGGGCTGTAGGGCAGGGCAGAAGCACGGGGCAGCCCAAGCTCTTCCCTCCACTTGCCAAGAGCAGTGTCCCTAGAGCTGGGAGTGACACGTGTCCCCGGCCACGGGAACCCCCAGCTCAGCATCCACATGCCATGCCGAGGGTTACTGAGCTCCCGGCCGTGCCACACATAAGGGGAACGCAGTCCAGTCTCACCCAACTGTCCCCAAACCCTTCCTGGCTCCATGAGGCAGAAGCAGGGCGGGAAGCCCCGAGCTTTCCGGGAGCCCCCCAGCCCTGCAAGTGCCAGTGAGTCCTTGTGGAGCTGGGAGCACATGCATCCTGCAGCCGTGGAACATTCCACGCCTCTGGACACGGCCACTCATGGGTCCCGGAGAGGGTAGAGCCGAGCGGACACAGCTGGAGCCGAGCGAGTCCCCACAAAGGGAGGCGGCAGGCAGGAGCAGGAACCAGGCAGGTTCCCCTGCCTGGAGGCAGACCCCTCCCCGCAGAGCCAGGCCCAGAAGCCACGACCCCCGCCCCGTCTGCAGGTTCCCACGCAGCACCCTGATCCCCGCGGGGTCGTGCCGCCCGCACCCCGAGCTGCCTCGACAGCATCCCGCTCCCGCGGGGCTGTGGCGCCGTGCCCGGCACTGATGCTCCGCGGAGGAGCTGCGAGCCCCCGGCACACGCGTGTACACACGCACGGGCACGCACACGCCAGCACATGGCCACGGGCACACCCGCACGCACGGACACGCGTGTGCACGCCCCGGCCCCGCTTCCCCGGCCGAGCCTCGCACAAAGCCGCCCCCGAGGCAGTCCCGGCCGGGGGAGGCCGACCCGTCCGCGCCGCCGCCGCCCGCCCCGTACCGGCACCGGCACCCCCGGGCGGGGGTGGGCTGCGGCGCCGGGACGGGCGGCGGCAGCGCCCGGCCCGACCCCGCCATGTGCGCCCCGGGGCCGCGGTACCTGCGGCGGATCCTCCCGCCCGGTGCCGTCCCGCCCGGTGCCGTCCCGTCCGGTCCCGCTCGGCTCGGCTCGGCGCGGCGGCGGCAGCGGCGAGCATGCGTCGGGCGGTGGCGGCGGGGGCGGTACCGTGCCCCGGGCCGCTCCCCCCCGGCTGCCGCCCGCCCCGGCGCCCCCGGCAGCAGTGGGGAGGCGAGGGACAGGCGTGGAGGTCCCGGCGCACCGCATCCCTCCCGGTGTCATCGCTGTCACTCCCACCGGCCCGCCTTGGGAGCCCCCCATCGCCGCACAGCCCCCCCCCTCCCCGGCACCCAAAGCATCAACACCCCGCGTGTCCCAGGGGCGAGCACCCCGGCACCCCGCGTTACACCCGGGCACAGCAGGACATGTGGTCGGGACCGGACGGTTCAGGGGGTCCCCAACCCTTAGGGTAGGTCCCATGGGTGGGGGTCACAGCGACACTGAGCACAGTCCCCCTCCTACCTGGTGATGGAGACGACCGCTTCCCTCCCGGGCATCACCGGGGAGGGGGCTGCACCCCAATTAGCCCGAGGGACCGGGACAACGTGCCACCGCGGCGGGATGGAGGTGGGTTCCCGCGTACCCCTCGCCCGAGGGTGGGGGAGGATGGGGAGGGAAGAACGGCCCCGTCTCGCTCCCGGCAGCGCTTGCCTCTGCTCCCGGGCTCAGGCTTTGTCTAACTCCTTCCCACGCACTCCCGCTCGCGCTGCGGGGGGGAAGGCGGCCTGCTCGCCTCGCTTGTATCCCTGCATCCTCCCCAAAACCCTCCAGCATCCCCCCCAAACCCTCTCCTGCCCTTCGTCACCCTATAGGATCAGGGTCCCCTCCGTGACCCGGGGATGTCAATACAGACAAGAACAATAGATCTATAGGGCTTTGGGGGGCATGTGCTAAGGTTAGAGGGTGTTCTCCATCCTGTGGTTAACATAAGCACCCGTCTCCCATCCCTATAGATCTATAGGGTAAGGCTGGTTCTAGGGGAGCTGGCACACCTGGTTGCTTGGAGACAAGGGAGATTGAAAATGCTTCTTTCAGTAAACAGCCAGGCTGGAACAAAACCCTGAAGACTAAAAATAGGGAGGCGGGATATGGAAATTAAATAAAATTTAATTCTCTCTCCCTGGGGCAGAGTGAGGCACCTCCATGTCAGCACTGGGCACCCCAATAGATGGCTGGAGTGACTGAGTTGGGGGTGTATCACTGCACCAATCAATGTGTCCCCTCCTCTAGGTGTCTGTCCCCACCCTGGGTCCTGCGTGCTGGTCCCAGTTCTGTAGCATTGACTGGGCCCAATTGCCCACCTGCAATGAAGTGGGAACAGGGTGTGGGGCATAAGTAGGGGCTTACATCCCGTGCTGTCCTGTGTGGGATTAGACCCAATCCTGGGCACAAGGACCAGACCCAATCCCGGGCACAAGGACCAGACCCAATCCCATCCAAGGGACACCATGGACTGGGGCAAGTCCTGGCAGAGGAGGAGACAAACGACCCCTGGTCCCTGGCTGGGATTTTGCCGCAGGCAGGAGGCTGCTGGGTCTCATCCTGCTACCATTTGCTTCCACCTGCTGCTCTCAGCTCCATCGGCAGCGGCTCTCCCCATCCCCGTCGGCATCTTGCCACCCAGCATGTCCATGTCCCAGGGGGCACGGGCTGGCACGGGGGGGGCGGGGGTCGCGGCGATCATCCTCCCCTCCCTGCAGGCAGCCTTCATCCCAGGCTGGCTGCCTCCTCCTCCTCCTCTCCCCGCCCGGGCACTTCGGGGCTGGCAGGAAAACAATAGCGAGGAGGATGAGTAAGATGGTCCCCATTGCCTTGGCAACGCACTCCCGCGCTGCCGGCTCGGGAGGAGCCAGGCAGCTGCCTGAAAAGCGCGTTCTCCCTCGGCGGAGGGGGTGCTGGCGCAGGTAGCACGGCACCCCCTCCCCGGGCGCCATGGCCCACCTCCCACGCCGCACGGGCAGCGCCACGTGAACGCACACCGGGCTCCCCCACAGCCGCCGGCGCCCGCACACGCCGGAGCGAGCAGACACACGCGCCCGGTACACGGATCAGCCCGGGCTGGGCTCCACCGCGTCTGGCTCCCCAGTGCCCCGTTGTGCCAGGGAGCTGTGGAACACAGCTGGCAGGGTCTGGCTGGGAATGTGACTCCTCCAGCGCTGCCCTGGTGGGAAGGTGATGGGTTTCCCTCGGCCGCTCGCAGCCACGTCACCTTCACACACGGCTGCCCGCGGTATCGGCAGGCAGAGGTGCCAGTACCAGGGCTGGTGGGGTGCTGGCAAATGGCAGAGGCAAGGGATGCCTGGGGGCATCAGGCTCCCAGCCCTGGCCACGTGCTGTCCCGTGGGCCATGACATCAGCAGGAGTACCCTCAGCATGTCCAAGCTGTGAGTGCCGTGTGATGATGGGGACATCAGCTGGAGATCCAAAAGCACCAAGCAACCTAAAACCAGCACTGTTTTCCCAGACACCTTGGTGTGGACGTGCTGGGGGAGGGAGTATGATCCCTGCCAGCACCCTCTGTTCCAGATGCCCCAAAACACAGCCCCTGCCTTAGCCCTGTGGAGTGGGAGGACACTGTGTCTGGGATACCACAGCCTGGTGGCCGAGCACATCATCCGGGATACTCCTGAATACAGACAGAGATATGGCCCCAGGACCAGCTGGGGGGCAGAGGCAGGGACAGAGGCACAGGGAGGCCTTGCCAGCTGCTTTGTGCCACTGAGAGGCATGAGCTCTGTGCCTGAGCATGGCATCAATCAACCAGAGCTGGGTGGGGAACAGCCCAGTCACACGTCCAGCCTCTCAGCACAGGATGAGGGGAAGCTCTGAGAAAGAACCAACAAAAGAATCATAGAATCATGGAATGGTTTATCTTGGAAGGGACCTTAAAGATCATTCAATTTCAACCCCAGTGCCACGGGACTGGGACACCTTTCACTAGACCAAGTTACTCCAAGCCCCATCCTACCTGGCCTTGAACACTTCCAGGGATGAGGCAGCCACAACTTCTCTGGGCAACCTGTTCCAGTGCCTCACCACCCTTTACAGTAAAGAATTTCTTATTAGTATCTAATTCAAACTTGACCTCTTCAGTTTAAAGGCATTCCCTCTATCACTCCATGTCCTTGTCCAAAGTCCCTTTCCAGCTCTCTTGGAGCCCCTTTAGGTACTGGAAGGGGCTCTAAGGTCTCTGTGGAATCTTCTCCAGGCTGAACAGCCCCAGCTCTCCCAGCCTGTCTCCATAGTAGAGATGCTCCTGCTCTCTGATCATCAATGCAATCATCTATTGTGACTAGATGCTGCTATTTCAGAAGAGTCAAAGCCTTTCCCACAGTGCCTCTGTGCCTTTGTGGTAGAAAGACAGGGGCTCTTTACTTCTTCTCTCTCCTTTCCCAGGGGTTCATTTCAGCAGATCAATCAATGTTGATGAAGTGAAAGCCCTGGCTGCATTAACAACACAAAAATGCACCGTAGTGGGTAAGTACAAGGGGAACATAAAGCACATGGTGACTTGGGCATTGGGAAGGGGCTATGAGACAGAAAAGCTCATTAGATGCTGTGAAAATCAGAAGGGCTTCAGAAGTGCAGGATGTTTCTCTGGGCACTGATGTGTGAGGGCAAGTCTCGCTATAGAACATGCCACTGGCAGCCCGGAATGTTCATGTTAATCAGGAAGTGTCAAGCATTGTGCCTCTCAGATGCAGTCGCTGTGCCTGGGTTGTCATGGATTCAGCTCTGGCTGGTGGCATTTGTGATAGACTCAGGGTGCATATCCTGTCCTGCCTTCAGCTCCACTCTGCAGAGGCCACATGGCATTAGTGGGGACCCATGTGTGCCGTGGGGAAGCGGTGGTCCCTTGCCACCAACAAGATCACAAGTGCCATAGTCACTTCCTCCCTCTGGGGAGCAGGTGAGCCGGCAGAGAACATCTGTCTGCCTTACCCGGTCTTTTCCAGATGTTCCTTTTGGTGTTGCCATGGCAGGTGTGAGGATCAATCCAAGGAAATACTCGGTGAGTTCACTTCTCTCGTTTCCCTGCCGACAGCCCATAATTCACGCTCCATTTGCACAGCCCTCCCTCTCTCTGCATATCACAGCGATGCCTCTGATGAGTGGGGGGAGACGTTTGTAGTGAGTAACACTTGCCCAGAGACTGTGAAAAGCAGCTTGGGGCGGGGGGGAGAGGGAGGTGAACTCTGGTTTATGGGTCGGTGCATCTGGCCAGAGACAAGCTGAAGGAGGCTGGTGTAGGGATGCTCCTGCCACTGCCTGCTGTGCTGGGGGAAGGGGCAAATCATCAAGAGCTTGGAAGGGCAGGGAGCAAAGGGAGCAGGAGTTCACATATCTCTTTTTTTTTCGATCCAGGGACCCCAGCTGCTGTGAATAAACTCCCTGGAGTCATCAGGCAGGGCAGGGCAGCTGCTGCATGCTGTACTGTGGCTCTGTGATTTTTCCTGGGGCCTCAGTAACAACTGTGTTTTGTTGCTCTTGTGCAGGAACATGAGCTGGAGAAAATAATGAGGCATTTTACTGTAGAAAAGGCCAAGAAGGAGTTTGTAAGTGAGAATTTTGCCCCAGCTCTGTAAACAGTGTTTGCTGGCAGTCAGAGGAGCAGGCAGCAGCTACCTGGCCAGGCAAGCAGAGAGGTTGCCATTCCATCACTGCCTATCACTGCCCCAGTGCTCTGCTGTCCCTTCACCACTTTGCCTGCACACTGTGGATTTGGAGTAGAGAGAGCCTCAGGCTGGTCCTACTGCTGGGCAGGGGTCTCAGCGGGCTTTTTCCTCCATTCCTGCTGGCCTGCTCAGACTCGGGGAGGAAGTGAAAGTGTCTTCTGCCTCAGCATATGATAGAGAGCTCAGTGGGTGCTGATCACAAGGCAAAGACCTCTACATTCCCTCTTGAAAGGGACAAGGCAGCAAAGACCTCGTGAAAGCCAAAGCCATTCATACCTGAGGGAAGCTGAGGAGGCCCTGGGGTATGGGCAGCACCACACGTTGGTCAGGGGACTCCTCAGTGTGCCCAGGGCCTTAATCAGCCCATGGAAATCACTTGGCCGCACACATGCTTTGGTTGGAGCACAGCAATCAATGGATATGACACATTTTTCTACCTCCACAAGGCCTGGGATTGACGTGCTGGCCACTGATGTCAGTACTGGGGAGTGGGAGATGTCCTGGATAGCAGATACCTGCACCCACATATTGGGGTACCAGGTAAGCTCTGACAGTGCCAGTTTGGGCCCAAGAGCTCAGTGGGACTCTGAGGGTACAGACTTTCCCTCCAAGGAAGGACCTTCCCTCCCTTTCTTCAGCCCAGGTCCAGCTCACAACTGTGGTGAGGTGCTTCCCCCTGCTGTAACTCCAGGAGCTCCTGCTCTCGGCCAGGCACTGCTGCCCTGATCCATTGCCTGCAGCTGCCCATTCCTGAGGCCATTGCTCTCTGCCAGGGTGGAATAAACTGGAAGCCACAGAGCTGAAGTCCTGCCCGCAGCTGCAACTCTGTGTTTCCCTCCAAGCCCTCACTCTCCAAAGCAGCTCCTTGCCCTAGGGAGGACACTTTGAACTGAGGTTGAACCTTGAGCTGCTGCCCACAGTGGCCTCGGGAACAGCCCTGCTTTTGCTCATCCCTTTCCTTTCCACACATCTGTATGCTT